AGATGCTCTAGATAGAATTAAAATCACAATCCATTCAAGTACATGCTCAAGTCCCATAAAACAAACCATTGCAAAGCTTTTCAAGAATTTTAAAAAGTAATAAACACCCCTTGTCATGAACTAATGGATGAGAAGGAAGGCAATTATGGAGCATCCCTGAAGAAATAGGTGTCGGACAAACAGCTGTGAGGGATCAGTAAAACTTCCAAAACAGGACACAGCACGTGTCATCGCAACAAAGAGCCAGACGTGCCTGAAGTTATTGCCACAGAGGTCCAAGTAGTAAGACAGACGAGACAAACTATGGGAGAAACTGTCTGAAACAGCCGCCCATTCCGTTACTGCTCACTGATCCGATAATCCACGAGGGTCATAGGGGCGCTGTATGATAGAGAGTCTTGTTAGGGACTTCCACCGTTCACGTTGTTTTTTTTTGCGAGCGCCTGAGTTTGGGTGAAGGATTTCCCTGTCCACTCCGCAATGTTGTCTGTCCACCCTGTCCACTCCGCAATGTTGTCGGTCCACCTCTTCCTTTGCCTTCCTCTCCTTCTCCTCCCCTGAAGAATGGTCTTGGATAGACCTCACAACCTTGTTACATGGCCATACCATTTCAGTTTTCTTCGCTTCCCAGTAGACAGAAAATCTATAGTGACTCATGTGTTCCCCCCCCAAGCACCCTTCTCTTCTCCCACCTTGGGATCAGGTCTGAGGAAACCTAGACAAAAAAACCCAAACAAAATAAACAAAACTGGATTCATAATCCTTACGTGCAGGAACCTGATACCAGAGTAGAGTCTGCCAGTCAGGTCAGGTACTTAGGAAAGGGAAGAGAACACACACACGTCTCTGTGCTGTAGAATCCACTCCCATTGTAAACAGTTTGTGAAAGCTGTCCACTTTAAAAATCTTCAAGAAATTCTAAGCATCATATTACGATGCATGACAGTTAACTCAATGAACTTGAACTAGATCTAGATATCTAAATGGTCTATTATCTAAAGGCCCTACTGTACAGTGAACAAAAAGATGAATAAATAGGCTAGTCTAAGTCTAAGTCTATCGTCATAAGTAAATAACAGCATTCAGCGCACTAATCATTAAAATTAAGCAAACAAACGTGAAATCAAATCCTCGTTCCTATTACTAAAGCCAGAGAACTGAACACTCACCGAATATCAACAATCTCAGATTCTTTGATCCTCAAGACTGGCACCCATCCATCGTTGTCAGCCTTCACAAAACGAATAAAAAACAATAGCAGATCTTGTAGATTCTAGAGTGACAATACTCCAAGAATAAAAAAAACTTTTCACTCTCACTGACTCTCACCCTTTACCTTTCCCTCTCTTTTCTTTAAAATCCCAAAACGAAAGCAGACCTGCACACTTCGCTGAGAACGTTTACAGAAAACTACAAGTTTTGTCAAAGTCTGTATAAAGTTGTCCTCGCCGCCACCCACTACTATAACTCTACCACTCTACCACTCGCACTGCCGCATTCACCGACAGTCTTCACAGGCAAAGTTGAAGAGTTGATTGTGTTGTGGAAACTGGTCACATGACCAAGCTTGTGTTATACTAAAAACATGAACAACTCTATTTAATACGACACAAAAACTTAGTTCTAAAAAACATTATATTTAATATTGTTGGAAATTTCAAACTAAAAAAGATGATAAATGATGTTCATTTCAAGAACAGCTGTTTTTGCAGCAGAAGTACTGGATTTTTTTTTCAAATTATAGTTTTGTTTTGTTAAATGTAAAATCTGGTTAACATTCTTTACTTGAGCAATTCGTCCTTTTTTATTAGTATTACATTAACTCCCTTCCCAAATCTTTTGTTACGAAGAGAATACAAGAGCCATTTTAGAACAAAATGGCCACTGTCTTCCTGATTCAGGCATCTCATGATAATTTTCTGTTGGAATTATGTTTCTTATAAAGATTAAGACATTTTCTCTTTAAAGAATTTACAGGTTTGTTAAACAGTAACTTGTACGAGAGCTTCCAGAGCTCTTCAAGCTCTTGTGTAGGACCACTTAATTCACTCTTGCATCATTAAGTCGCCTCTTCAGTCTTCAACTTCTTCAGTCTTCAGAATATAATTTCAAGACTTCACACTCGTAATTTAGTCGTAAGACATCTTCAAGAGTTAGAGATTCTATAAGACACCGTAAGACGTCTTCATTTCAAGTATTGTTATTTGGCTGATTTGACTTTAATTTAGTCTAGATCTAGAGATTCTACTGGTCTGTAGCAAAGAACGAAAGAATTTTATTTATTTGGTTGGGCTGCCCTTTTTTTTAAGGAGAAATTGATTACTGTGTACTGTGTCTGTGACTGTGTGCGTTCACTGTGATTTCAGTAGAATCTAAATATATTTCCTGCTTCTCGTTCACTTAGGTCTAGATCTAGAATGTCTAGATATAAATCTATATATCTATTTCTAGATAGATCTAGATCTAGATTCTAGGCCCTACATCATCATACCTCCATTCATGAAAATAATATGGGCGCAGAAAAATGGAAAGGCAGGCTAGACTAGATCTCTAGAATATCTAGATCTAGATTCTAGAATCTAGAGATCTAGATTTGCCAATATTCCAGTTTGAAAGAAGAAGGTTTTATTTAGGTCTAGACTTGTTGGATTTAGATTTCCGATATAATGAAGTGGCTAGCCATACTTAAATCTTAAAGTGCGGCTAGCCTTACAGTCTAGGCGTCCTTAATTAAGTACAGCTAGCTTACCCGTCTAGCCAGTATGGCCAGCCTGCCAGTCTAGCTGTAGCCTACTTAGATTTAGGTTTGGCTCTATTGACCGAAACCTGTAGAGAACAAAGGTCTCATTAGCTAGTATAATTATTCAGGTTTGAAATACATGCATGTCAGTAAGGCACCTTTTGGTTTCGTCTGAAATACAAAATGTACTTTAGCCTAGGAATTGCAAACTAAAATTTTATTTACCATTCAACCATCATTATTAACTCTTATCCTGCGTCTGTGCCCAGATGCGTATCTTATCAGCAACTGATTACGTCGGACGTGCCGGGCAGGCCGCCGGGGTCACTCAGTGTGTACTGTTGGTGTACAGCGCGCACGCCGGGAAACGTGTGTTTTCGCCATGAATACCGCGGGAGTGCGTAAACCGATGATGAAAATAACGCTCTATCTTTCTTTATAAAGTGTTACAAACACATGAATAACCCTTTCTCACAAGCTGATAAGACATTACGAGTAGTTACGCCCTTTCGAATACCTTTCTGGACGCTCTTGTTTTATGAATGACCTGAGGTTCGAAAGGGGATAATTTAGGTCAATTTCCGAATGTTTTACACTCAAATTGTTCTTTGTACCTGCACAATGGTATTCAAAACTATCAAACAAGCTTTATTTCTTATCAGGTAATATCATTTCATACGAAATCAAGCTCATTTGAAATACTTTGTATAGAAAAATGGAAGTCTTGCTTCCTGACTATCCTTTCGAGCTCCTCATCTCTAAGTGGGTCAATTTGTTCTATAATTTCATTGGACGAACACCTAGAGCTACCAACTTGGCATGTTTTGAATGAGACGTATGCCTCGATTACAAACCAACGCAGGCGGTTCCAGAAGAAGGCCACAAACGCACACAAACTCAAGCAGACAGACGCACACACACTTGACCTGCGTGAATGGGGAGCCGACTCGGGACCCGAATGCTACGTAAGAGGATGCGCGCTGCGTGTGCGCTGAGCCAGGGGCTACACTGATTCGGGACCAGAACGTAGGCGAGGTGCCGAAATAGGCTTATCGGGCGACATAAACCCGGCTCCCGCAGGATGAGGGTTAAGTACGGCTGTCATGCCAGTCTGCCTTCCAGTCTAGCCGTAGTAATTTAAGGCCCTATTAGAAGCCTGTTGAATACACAGGTCTCATTTACGTAATTATTCGGGTGAAAAATGGCTTAAAGTTAAGAGTAGAGGGAAGTCAGAACCAGGTCACTGTTCCTTGCGGTCTTTGATATTTTTAATGTATTAAATTACTTCTTCAGAGATACGACCATGGCGGATGAAGGAGGGACACCCCCAGAATGTTCCTCAGCTCCAGACTCAATATCTGAGCACGTTGCTAGCGGTAACCTTGAAGAACCTCCCCCGCTAAGTATCATGGATCCAGTGTCGTCAGAGCTAGCGGGGACTGAGAGGTTTACGTCTGTGCCGGTCTCGCGCGTCCCCGTCGCCACCACAAGCACAGACACGGCCGCCAATTACGCCACGCCGGCCCCACGGATAGACGTGCCAGAAACCTCCAAGGCACCCGGCCTGACGGATTGCCCGATCACCCCGGTCATCTCATTATCCAAAGATTTCCACCTTCGTGGCTCATCCACTTCAGCGTTCCGGCCATTCGTCACACAAACCACATTGTCTTCAGCAAGGGAGATCACTTCCTCGACGGAACTTGACAATCCCATCACGTCGACCCCGGTGTCGCGGCGTGCGGAACGACAGTCGCATCCTGGTACGTCGCGAGACCTGGCAGACCTGTCCAGGAAGTCTCCGTCGCCCCCGAATGAGTCTGGTACCCCGGTGTTCCTGAACCCCGCCCCGACGGAGGAGAACGAGGACGGCCGCACCACCGCCTCCGCTCCACCCTGCACGCCCGCACCGGACCCTTACCAGCAGCCGCAGTCTCCGTTCAGAGGAAACCGGCAAATTAAAAAAATAGATTTGTTGGCCATGTCGCGATCACGCCAGTCGGACAGAGCGGAGAATGCCAGGCGTGATGGACGGTAAGTGAATGTAGAACTGTCAAGTGATCCTCCAGTAAAATTAGAGGTCTCAGGTTTGTTTGTTTTTTGCTCATCAAAGAACATGATTGGATTTGCATGACATCTGATTTTGTCCTGATATTCCGTTACGCATCTTATCATAAATAGCGTGAAAATACACAGGTTTACTTGCAATATTTCGACCATTTGCTGTAACTATAAACAACGCAAAAATTTTGAGGTTCATTTGCAATACTTGCGTCACTTATAATGCTTAGTGCGGTGTTTCTGAGGGGACACCCAAAGTGTACATATCGTCATTCAGCTGCCAATATGGCCGTACTCGTTTTTTACACTTTTGGGATAATTGAGAAAACGGAATTGTTATTTTATAAATACATTATTTTCCTTTAAAATCATCATCATCATCATTGCCTTTCTCCCCCTGGATCAGAATATAGGTCACGAACAAATACTTTCCGGCTTTCCCTATCCCGGGCTAGACGCTTGATGTCTTCTCACTTTTCTATACCACATCAATTTCCGTGACTCTTCTCTAGGATAGATATATGACAGTAAACCTTTTGTTCCTCTCTACTCTAGACTGAGGCCATGACTGTATCAACCTTTTGTTCCTCTCTAGACTGAGGCCATGACTGTATCAACCTTTTGTTCCTCTCTAGACTGAGGCCATGACTGTATCAACCTTTTGTTCCTCTCTAGA